TGAAGGAAATCAACCCTGAGTGTTTACTGGAAGGACAGATCCTGAGGCTGAGGCTCCAATACTTTGGCATCTTATGAAAAGACTCCCTGGAAAAGACCCTGATGTTGGGAAAGTGTGAGGGTAAGAGGAGAAGGGGATGACAGAGGACGAGATAGATGACCAATGTCATCGAAGCAACCAGCATGAATTTGACCCAACTCCGGGAGGCAGTGGAAGACAGAAGGGCCTGGCGTGCTCTCGTCCATGGGAGCAAAGAGTCGGACATTACTTAACAACTAAACAGCAACAAAGAGTTTTATATTAAATGTTATAAGGAACCTCTTTTACAAATTTCAGTTCCCTCTAACTGCAATTGGAATAACCAAAAGGCATGAAAAGGATCTCAGGTGGAAGAAACCTAGTTTTCCAAAGCAATCTGTAATTTCTGGCTGTTATTACTTACGATGTTGTTTTATTTAACAGGACTAGAAATTAAGGAGAAACAAGAGGGAAGCCTGTGCTGCAGGGTCAGAAGACCAGCAGTCATAAGATCGAATCCACATGACGGAGTGAGCTCCCGTCGCTTGTCCCAGCTCCCGCCAACCTAGCGGTTCGAAAGCATGCAAATGCAAGTAGATAAATAGGGACCATCTCGGTGGGAAGGTAACAGCGTTCCGTGTCTAAGTCGCACTGGCCATGTGACCACGGAAGATTGTCTTCGGACAAAACGCTGGCTCTGTGGCTTGGAAACGGGGGTGAGCACTGCCCCCTAGAGTCGAACATGACTGGACAAAAATTGTCAAGGGGAACCTTTACCTTTACCTAAGAGGGAAGAACAGATTTTCCCTGCTAACCCTTTTATAGCTCAGTACCAGCCAATATTTGGTTTAGTATTTGGATAATTGAAGCAGTTAAGGTACATTATATATAGTTGAATCTTGTCTTACATCTTGTTTTCAGATCTCTGGTTAATGCCATATATATGAAAAATGAGTTAGTGGAACAACTGCAGATGGATTTGTTTTTCAGACTGTAATCAATAAGAAAGTAGCATAAAAATACAGAGCATGGAAGTGGCAGGAGATCATGAAGTACCATTTACCTCTGCGGAATTTCAACATTCCAGCAATGGCAAGGAGATGGCATTCATCCTGTGAATAGCACAGGAAGCCCCAAAAGAAGATCTTATCTCTAACACCTGGGCATATGCAAAATAAACAGGCACTTTCTATCTTGAGTCACTTCCATTTTTTGCATTTCTATGATATTGGTAACAGCTCAATACAACAAATTGCCATTTCATAGACAACCATAAAAATTTAAGGCAGTATGTACAACTGCACTACAGTATATCTTGGCAGTGACAGATATATTGAAACCATTTAACTGTCAAATAAATTTCAAGACATTTTGTTACACACAGATTGTTAGATAACTTACAGTCATACATACAAGTTAAAAACTCTTTACTGTCTTAGCTTCTCCTGAGTGATATTTGGTGTTATTATCAGGCTTTTAATTTTTCATGAATTAGTGGGTTGTGCCCAGGGTATGTCTCCTGTTGACAGAAGGGCTATTTCTGTCTCCAGAGGCTTTCTGATCGAGCAAGAAAATAAAAGTGGCAGAAGGTTAGGAGCAGGTTCTTTGCCAATTCCCCTCCTCTCTACCCCTAGTTTCCTATGCCTGAGTCCCACAATATCTGTTCAAGAACCATCATCTGGAGGAGCAGTGGAGCTGAAGCTGCAGAAGGAGTGAGGACATGAGCAAAGATAGCACCTCTCCCCCATCTTCTCCATGCAGAAACATTCTAAGCAGAGTTCTGTCCAAGTCCTGTTTCTGCTGGTAAAAATAATCCCTGAAAAGAGATGAGCAAATCATATTTTTCCTGCTGACATGACTCAGCCAGCAATTTAGATTCTTACTTTTCTTTCTTGATCTCTTTCCTTCAGCCATTTCTGCATGAACAGTAGTCTCTTCAGGAAGGCTCTCCATTTCATGCTCAGAATCTTTTTTCTTTCTTTTCTTTTTCTTTTTTGTCACCACCGATTCAGGAACTGTTGGCCCCTCTGCCTGTTCCAAGATGCTAGGAGACTCTTCATTTTCCTTTTCAGCAGTCCCAACATCCACTTCCATTTCTGCATCAGAAACATGGGCATTCTGGAGATAATCCTGGCTGGGCTTGAGTTGGCCATTGTCAGCATTAGCTTTTAGATTATACATTGTAAATACACCTACAGCCATTCAATTCTCAATAAAAAAGACAAAAAAATACTAAAAATATGTTCAAAAATAAAAAATACAGGATTCCACTTGCTCCTTATAAAACTCTCAAAATCTCCTAGTCTACCACTCTTCTTACCTACATCCATATTGTTTTGGCTGCATGTAAGACGTCTTGATTCCACCAACATCCCTCTGCACAATATACAGAGTTTAAAATGCCTATAAACCATGTTTTAGTCAAAAAGCCTGAAGATAGCTGAATTAAAATAAGAATAAAAGTCCATAAATTTAAAAAAATTGCATGACACAAGACAGAACAAGAAAAGTAGCAAAAAAAAGATCAAAGAAGAATTAATGATCAGCTGTCAACTACTGATCATGAGAAATGCTTATAAAACAAATCATTTAAGCAGCCCTCAAAGAGGGCGTCAAGCAAGTCTTTGGAATGGCATTTGGAAGTATTGTCCACTCCCAAGAGATCTAACAGTCTGAAAATTGGGGGGGGGAGCCCCAGGTCCACAATCATAATAAAATGGATGTATTAATTTCAAATATTTTTTTCAGGATCTTTAGAAATACCTTGCTGGTGCTTCTGAGACTTGGATGTTTTTTTCTCATTCAGAAGTTTCTCCCTTTGATGCTGACATTTAGCATCTTTTTCCTTTCTCCTTCTCTCATTTTCCAGGACTTTCTCAAGGAGTTTTGTAAAGAAATTAAAATCAAAAGGTCTTTTCTCTTCTGCCCAAGAAAGAAATAAAGTTTTATTTCATGTGAAAAATACACATGCTCCAATTACACCTTAAAGTCCATTCAACAAAGAATTAATGATTAATGAATTAAGAATTAATCATCAAAGAATTAATGATACATGCAGAAATTCAGGGTGTCAAAGATGTTTGAGGTGCTTAAGATCAACAATCTTGAAATCCTTTACAAATAACCAAATGCTAGATTTTATGAGGGACTAACAGCAGTTATGTGTGCACCTAAAGCAAAGAAACAACTCTTTTGTTCAAAATATTAACATATTGTAAAGAAGCACCATTATTAGTTTAATTCAAACTATGGTACTACTGTATTATCTAATGCCTCCAGTTTGATAGTCTGGGGGTTTTGGTGGGGGGAGGGATTGCTTTTGGCAATTTTCCTTCTATCTTACAGCATCCTGTTCCTCACCCAGAATCTTCTCTGGAAAGTTCTTCAACACTGTGGTCCAGTTTGAGGGACCATGGGAGAGCAAGAATCATTAAATTAAACACCTCGCCTTTCCCAGTCTGCTGGTAGATTCCTCCAGTCACTGGAGGAACCCCTACTGATTATCAGCCTTCACTCCCGAATTGAAGGGGGGGAGAAGTAAACACTTACTGAATGCTTTATCTATTCTCCATCCGTTAGCTTTTTCTTCACGTTTAAATTTGTTCTAAAGACAGAAAGTTGTGTCATGTTAATTATTTTTACTGACCAAATTGCATTATATTTTAGCTTAATCTATGTAGACATAGTTTTCAATTAACCCTTCAAGTGAAACTTTTAACTAAGATTTTTCTCATCTTATTTTTTAAACATATTGATGTTGATACAGTTCATAGATGCTTTTTAGAACAAAATACTTGTTCAGCCCAAGCTAGTCTCTTATCATTAGAGGAGGATAAGGAAACAACCATCTGTTTGCCTTATAAAGAATACTTAAGACATTTTAAAGCAAATTAACACAACACTTGAAAACTTTTTTTAAAAAAGGTCACTCACACAGGACTCTGTACCTTCCATACATAAGCACACATACTGAGATCTTTACACAACTCCAAGGATGAACACTATTCTCCATTCAGAATTAGTCCCCAACTTGGTGGGAGATGTTTACAATAGCTCTAAGGAAGATGCTACTGTTAAGCAATGCAGAGGAAAGGGCATACAGTATATGTCTTAGTTTCCAAGTTGATCCTAAACACAGACAAGTTTCTTTCATTAAACTATCCTGAATCATGCAAGGCTACTTAAGGATAAAAGTAAAATGTGCTGCTTATATACCACCCTATAGCACTTAAAGCACTCTCTGTGTGGTTTACAATTTAATTATACAGGCTACACATTGCCCCCAGCAAGCTGGATGCTCAATTTACCAACCTCGATGAATGGACGGCTGGATTAACCATGAACCAGCTACTTGAGCACATCTGAGCCAAACTCAGGTCCTGAGCAGAGTTTTGACTGCAGTACGAGAGTTTAACCACTGTGCCACAAAGTTAATAAGTTAATGCACTATACACTTGCTTGGGAAAGCTTAATGATTCTGTTAACTAGTTATTATGATCTCAATACTATATTCAGTTACCTAGAAGTTATCCTGTTGAACTAGCTGGAACTTACTTTTTAGTAAACAGTACTGGACTGATCTGTTCAAAATGACAGCCTTGGCCAGAATGAAAACAAATAAGAAACCAGCATAAAACGGGAGATTTTCAAGAAGCCATAAAGCAAAAGAAAGATATAGACCATAAGCCAATTTACCTTTATCTCTGTTCTTGCTCTGTGAGGAAAAAGCTGACTAATCATCGAAAAATCAGTTCCGACCATACTTATAGCCAGAAAGAACATTTCTGTTTCTGTAAAGAAAACAAATTAGTTTAACTAGTCTTAAAATGTTGACAGTTCTTAGCATAAATCAATCTAAATCTTATGATAAACAGAAGCAACCTTTATTGTTGCCAGGGTGTGTTTTTTCTTGTTTTTGGACTGCAAAAACCTCAATAATTCCCCGGGCAGAATTTTGGGAGTTGCAGCCCACAAAAATAAATGTACAGACTCTAGATTCCATCCCTGTAAAGAAGGGTGTTTGCTGACATGTTCCCACCATATCAATTGCCTTCCATTTTTAATTTTCAAAAGAAGAAAACAGTTGAGGTACTTTCTGGGAATTGCAGCTATTTGGGAGGTGCCCTCCATAGAACCTAACAGGCAGCAAGACTGTAACTCCCCATGTTCTCCACCTCTAGGAGGGTCCTCATCAGTCAACTACACCCACTGAAACATAACAAATAATGTTTACATCTTAACTTGGGGCATTTCGCACCCAACAGTTACACTGTTAGTATGACAGTGGTGAAACTACACAAGAGGATTTTGGATGCTATGTACATACAACAGTAAAGCATTTATGTGATTGCTGCTGTTATCCATATTAATAAAGAAAAGTATTTTGATGGATACTGCCACTTTTTTGCAGTAAATGGTAGTGAAACCTTTCATTGCTATCTGCACATGACTGAAGTGCATGTATCCATCATTAATGAATGACAAATTTGGATTACATAGCCTTGTGTACTTAGATTTTATTTAGTGACTGAAATCAAACGAATGAAATTAAGGAGCAATAATAAAAATAATAATAAAAAGTCACTCTATCTTTTGTCTGGTTGAGTACATCTTAAACCAAACAAGTCATCCACTCTAAGAGTTCACTCTTCAAAAACTAATGATAAAAAAGATCAGGGCTAAACATCAACAATTGCAACATTAAAACCAGACCAACCTTTTTCTGACCATGGCTTGGTATAGTAACTTCTTCTGAAACTTGAGTAAGTTGTTGTGGAACCACGCTCAAAGATGGGATCATTTTCTTCCACTACACATTGTCCTTTTGTCCTTAAAACTTCTACCGTTAAACTGAAATGTGAAGTCAACAAATATTAAACATAAGACAAAAAGACAATAAAAATAATTAGAATACAAACCAAACACTAAAGGAAGCAACAATACAAGTATGCCAATTGTTTCTGTAGACAGCAAAGATGAATTCCTACCCATATCAAGATTTTAGAGCACTAATCATTTCTTTACTGTTTTCTGCAATGTTCAATGGATTCCATACAGGCCTTATATTATCTTTCTATACAGAGAAGTATCTCATTCAGAGTTGTCCCACTTATTCCATGTGCCTTAAATCACTTCATTACATCATTTCCTTCTCTCTGCAACTTAAAACTGAATGCATGCTTTTGAACCTCCATTCTGTCACCTATCTCCTCTGTTTTCAGGCCACCTGGGAGGGCATAAGCATTAAAAATGATGCAAGAACAGCTGGATCAGTTAAACAAACAAGAGTAACAAGAATGGGAAGATGAGATCAAGACAACTTTGCACAAGAATGCAGATACCAAAAAGCGGGGGGGGGGGCGTCAACTCGGATCAAAGTGGGCAAAAGAAGTAAGTGGGCTTAGAGAGGCCGGGGTACTGTGGCTTGGGAAACAGGACTGGGGACAAAGCTTTGTTGAAAGGGCAATGTTTGCCCCAGTGCAATTATTCATAATACTGTACGGTGTAGTGTCTGTGTTCATACCAGGGAAATCTTTCATTACATAAAGGGATCTATTAACATAATAATAAGTGAACCATTTGTAGACATATGTAAAAAATTGTGGGTTTCATTGCAAAGGAAAGTTTCCTTATGCAAGGAGAGTGATGGAGGCACAAATATATAAATATTAAAAATATACAGAGAGTAGAATTAAGAAGAGCAAAATTCTTGAAATCATGGAGGATGGATGAAGCACAACATGACTGGAAGAGGGCTAATGCTGTCTCTATCTTCAAAAAGGGCAAAAAAGAAGAACCTGAGAACAATAGACCAGTCAGTCTGACATCCCAGGGAAAATTCTGGAGCAAATTTTAAAGCTGTCAGTCTGTAAGCATCTTGAAAACAATGCAGTGATAACTAGAAGCCAATATGGATTTATCACAAACAAATCCTGCCAGACTAATCTTATATTTTGATCAAGTAACCTCCCTGGTAGATGGTGGGAATGTTGTAGATGTAATATATCTTGACTTCAGCAAAGGTTTTAACAAAGTACCCTACGATATTCTGATTAGCAAGGTAACTAGATGTGGGCTGGAGAGAAAAACTATGAGATGGATACACAGCTGTGTACAGAAACATAGAGTGTTTATTAATTGCTCCTTCTCAAATTGGGAGGAGGTAACAGGTGGGGCACCACAAGGCTCAGTGCTGGGCCCAGTTCTCTTCAACATTGTAATTAGCCTTGGATGAGGAGATTAAAGAAAAGCTTCTCAAATTTGTAGACACAAAATTTTGTGTAATACCTAATACCCTGGAAGACAGGAAAAAAATTCAATATGATCTATATAGACTTGAGCACTGGCTGAAAACAACAGAATGAAATTCAACAGAGATGAGTGCAAAGTACTGCATCTAGGAAAAAGAAACCAAATGCACAGTTACAAGTTGATGGATACTCGGCTCAGCAAGAAGGCTATATGCAAGAAGGGTCCTGGAATTGCTCTGGATCACAAGCTGAAAATAAATCAACAGTGAGATGTGGCTGCAAAAAAAAAGAGCAAATGCAATTTTAGACTGCTTTTACAGTACAGTCTTCAAATTATGGGAAGTACTAGTTTCTCTCTATTCGGCACTGGTTAGACCTCGCATTCTGTATCCAGAAATATGATAGCACTCTTCAAATACTTGAAATATTGTCATACAAAGGAGGCATAGGAACTGTTCTTGGTCATCCCAGACTGCGAAACATGTAATAATGGGCTCAAGTAGCAGGTTGAGATTCACTATTAGGAAAAACGTCCTAACTCTTAGATCAGTATGACAATGGAATCAATTACTTCGGGAGACAGTAAGAACTCCAGCACTGGAGACATTCAACAGAAAATTAGACATCCATCTGTCAGATTTTAACTTGGATTTCTGCACTGAGCAGTGGGTTGGACTCAATGGCCTTATAGCCTCCTTCCAACTCCATTATTCTATGATTCTATAATCTATAGATCTATGCACTGGATCCACCTTATGTAGATCTACTCAGAAAGAAGCCCCAGTGAGCCCAGTGGGACTTGCTCGTATGACAGGTTGCACAGGATTTCAGCCTTATGAAGAAAGAAAGCGCAAAGAAATAGAGGAATTAATGTCTTAATGATACTGTACATCTATGAAGTAACAAGAGCTTTGTTTCAAGCAGCAATGTGTCTTGAGTCAGAACTCAGCAGTCTTATAAAATTTTACTTATTTATTTATTTATTTATTTATTTATTCATTCATTCATTCATTCATTCATTCATTCATTCATTCTGGGTGGTTGACATATAAAAACGATTAGGAAATAGCAACAGGTAAAATAACACAATAACAAAAAAAGGGCAAATAAAGGGCAAATAAAATGACAAATAAACCCTTCTGTGCTTGCCCTTTTTCTCAGGCAGGCATCAATTGCCAAAACTTAACCTTTCTTCATCCAGAATAATCGAACCATCTTCAGCAACTTTTACTCGAGGAACCAAGAGGGGGCCATCATCTTCTCCTTCATCTTCTTCATCATCTTCCTCATTTTCATCTACATGATCAGCAACAATTCTTTCTTCGGGTCTGCAAGTTGAGCAGATAATCAAATACAAGAGATCTTATTCCATATTCCCTTTGCAAACATAAAACATCCTCTGCAGCCCAATTATGCCAGTTACTTCTAGGAGCAGCATTAGAACAATTACCACAAGTCATTCATTTTATAGTATTATTCTACTCTAGAGGGTGTAGGACTTTCTGTCCGAAGTTTCACATTGAACATGTTGCTAAACATCTGTTTCAGATAAAAGCTCATCAATTCTTAATTAGCATACGTTGCTGTTAACTGTCATTTCAAACTTAAATCACTAATTATATTCTGATGATGAGAGAAAAATATTACTCTTTAGCTTGGGTCACTGTAGAAGTCTTCTCTTTTCTCTTTTCTTCTACTAGTGAAGACCTGTTGAAAAGAAATAATAATAATCAAACAGATTTTGTCGATTTGGCCTAAGTTTAATACCACATAGTCTGCTATGACAATATATGTTCCACCTGCTGTATACCTGCATGACTGCACAAGGTGCTTCAACTTGAAATACTAGACATTGTCTCAGCTTATTCTCATAAACAGCACCAAGACAAAACCAATTTAAATTATATGGTTTATCAATCAACATATCAAGAAAATGGTGATAAATCAGAACTTCCAAGTGTGCAGGCTCAAACTGTATTACAAACGAACAACTCCTTAAATGTGACAAATAAGACCAACACAATTTAGGCAACTCAATTTAGAATCCCAAGCTTCCTAGAAGCCTACACCCTGACTATTTGCACAAATTCATTCTTAAAAATGAGTCACAGTACTGGGTCTTTATAAGTATTTATTTAAACTGTCAATGAGATATAGCAAATTTTCTGTTCTAACCATTGTACAGTATCAGTTACAGGACAAAGTACACTGCAGCAGCATAGGCTAGTATACAGGAGCATGACAGTAATATTATTGGACATCAGGAAACAAGGGGAAAACATAATCAAAAAATAGAACCCTACAATTTGATACAAGGCTACTGAGGTGAAAGTTCCACTGAGTTTAGCAACACTTATTCTCAGGTATGTGCATACAGAACTGCAGCCTCACTTGTTTTAGGGTTGTTGTTGTTGTTGTTGTTTAATACACTAGTTTGTATCTTTCCTTTCAGAATACAGAGAGCAAAACTTCCACCATAATAATAAAGTTCCACTTCTCTCACTTGGTTGCAAATGAGCATGCAGCTTATTAGGATTTCTACTTAAACTTCCCTTCAAAAAGCCATGCCTTTTCTATTTTTTTAAAAATGCTTCTCTTCAACAGACTTTAAAAAATATTTAAGAAATTGATTTCTGTGATGGAGCAAAAACTTTTGAGCTCTTTGTTGGCTTTTTTTTGTGTCTTGAAAGCTAATCTGAAATTTTACATCCACAAGGCTGTCACCAGACATCATCTTCAAACTGAAAGCACTACAGTACTAATTTCCATGTCATGGAACGAAGTGAAGCTAAAAAGAAATGACACTTTCAGGAAGGAGAAACAGGCATGGAAAGTAGCAGGAAAAGTCACTGTACTAACAAAACAAGAAGAACTTCGAACAGATGGTGAAAATGTTGTTAATATCTATACAGAAGTTGGAGCATGTATTTTCCTTAATGTACCATTTCAAAGAGCCCTAAATGCATTCATAAAATGCAATGAACAATATTAAAACACAACTATTCATATGGATCTTTCCAGAAGACAGCTGATGATAGCAGCACCTGTGGGCAGGGGAAGAGCAGTATACCTATAGAAGGCACTTTTAGTGACCTTCTTGACCTCATTCATCTCTTACATTTACTTGTCATACCTTCCTCTGCAGAACTGAAGACATTCTAAGTAGGATACATCACAAAGAGGCTCTTGTACCATAAATATACGACTGGTAATTAAGAAAACAACATTTTAAAGCTGGCACCTTTCATGGATAATAATCTGAAGCCTACACCTTTTAACTGAACATTAAAATAACTCTTTCTTTCAAACTATGAAAGAAAGGTCAAGCTAGCAGTCTCTCTTTCTTGGCCAGGGCAGGAGGGATTCAACAAATCATTCAACAGATATCCGGCAAAGATGTTTCAGATCATGGGTCAGCAGGGCACTAGGACATAGTATCACTTGCATAGCCCCACACAGGCCAGATGGCCTCAAGGAGCACAAACATGTTCCCAATGGCATATACTGTTCAGCCACAGTGCCAACAAGAGATTCCTGCCAGCACTGTCCACCCCTGATCCACTCTTTATTCTCTTGTATGGTGAAAAGCAAGGCAGAAAGCACAACCAGCTAAGTCCCACGTGCACCCATGACTGGGGAGAGAAGACAGCAAGATAGAAAATGGGCAATCTGGAAATGATCTACTTTTTTTTTCAAAGGTTACCTTTTTATATACTTAATCATTCTGTACTGATTTGAATGTGGACTTGACACAAGATTCAGGCCAAAGTCTTAATTCAACTACAAAATTTACTGCCTATACCAGTCACCATATCTCAGCCCAACCTCACAGGTCTGTGGTGAGGATAACAGGAGGACATCAGACACTATCCTTAGAATATTAGACAAAGAGAAGAATAAAGGTCTAACTAACTTCAAATGTTTAAAAAAGCATATATTCTACAATCAAATGGAAAATTAGTACTCACTTCATAGGATTGTTTTCAGGGAGATAGTATATGAAGTCTCTCATAATCATTTTTGAACGATCTTCTGGCATGTTTTTTTCAATTACCGGGGATTTGTATTTCCGTTGTTCCTGGACACAACATTCAGTAGTTATTTATTACTTGTTTATTTTAACTTTACCTTGGTTTTCTATACAATTGATGAATTTAAGTGAAGTTGGCCATTTTAATACTCTTTTACTGTTCAGCTGTGGCTATAATCAACCAAAACCTACCCTAGAGGATTGGAGGACCCTCCAAAGCAGGATGAGGGTCCTGGAGCAGGATTGCTGGGTGAAGGGAACCCTCTTTTCATGAAGGAAAATTACTCTGCACAAAGCTGGAATCAACCCATAAACTTAACCATATTGGAATAATAATAGTTAAGTGCCATCATGTTGGCCTGGACTTATGGGAAACCCTTCCAGGGGTTTCAAGGTATAGAGAACCCCAGATCAGTTTATCATTTCATTCCCCTAGTGGCTTTCTGAGACTGTGCACCTTGCCCAAGGCTACCCAGGCTGGCTCTTCGCTCGAACTCCGGATCCCTAACTCTGCAGCCGGAACTCAGCAGCAAGGCACCCAACGCAGTGCGCTACCCAGTCAGTTATTTGTATTCTATATGCAGAGTTAAAGCATTCTAGGCAAGAAGGCTTTATGTACCAGAATTGAAAAGAAGTTACATTTCTTCAGCATATAGAAAACCCACTGTGGTTACCACTGGCTTCCTTCATTTCAGCAATATAGTTCATGGAACGTTCTTTGGGATTGGAAAACTTTTGGCCTAAAACTTTTGGCATGACACTGGGAAGAGCTGCTGTAGTGAGAGCAAAATGAAAGAATATTTCATTTTGCCATTCCTGAATTAGAAATCGAAATGTTTGTCTGATCTAGTGAGGATCCCCATGAGGTGCTGCACAGATCCAGATCTACTTTCAACCTACTTTTCCCCTAGTGATCATTAACCCTAAAATTGACATAATGTACTATGTTACATTATCACATGACATTATATATTGAAAAGCAAAGAGTCTGTGTATATGTTAGGTGCCACCAAGTCACATCTGACTTACAGTGACCCTAGCAAGGTTTTCAAGGTAAGTGAGATGTTTTACCAGTACCCACGTCCCCTAATGAGTTCCCATGGCTGAACAGGGACTCAAATGTGCATTTCTTGAGTCCTAGTCCATCACTCTATCTGCTACACCACAATGAGTACTGAAGAGCTTTTAGCAAAGTACAATTCGTACAGCACCACAAGATTATGGCATGATTTGTGTGCATATGAGCTATGGCTTCTCATGGGAACTACCACTGCAAATTACATTTATAAGGACACAAAAATCCATTTCAACCCCTAGCATGTCCAGGAAATATTAGAAAAGCTTTATGTCTGCAGTGCTACATTTCAGGATTCATCTACTCTAGTGACTATACCAAGCCAAACAGGCCATCACTCTTACTTGACATAAAGCTTTCTATACATAAACCCAGCCATACCTTCTCTTTCTTCAACTCTTCCTTGAGCATTTTCCTTAGCTTCTTTGTTTTGATTATCTTCTCACGATCTGAACATATTTTTTTCTCTCTCACTGGAGTCAGTTTTGACTGTGTTTGACTCTTGACTTCCTCTTGAAGAGTTTTTTCTTGTGTGGGCCTCTCTTTGAGGGGTGTGAATGTGCTCTTTTCCAGGGCTTCATCACTTCTATGAGTTGTTGCATGCACATTTGGCTCTTTACTGGTAGATTTTTTAAACGGAGAAAACTGTGGTACCTGGGGAACAGGAGTTTTCTTCTCGGGCAACACGGGAGACTTAGGAGAAATTTCAACATTAACTTTCTCAGAGGAAGGCGACTCCTTCTGAAGAGGAGAACTGCCAAAAGTAGAAGAGTGGGATACTTGTTTTGGAGGACATTTTGATGCCAAATTGACAGGATGCTGTACAGGTGGGAGTGTGACTCTTGGTTTAGCAAGATTGGGCAAAGTGGATATTCGTTTTCTTCTCTGAAGAAGGGTCTCTGAATGTTTACTACCATCTTGCTCACTGCTTGCATCACTGGTCTTCTCAGATCTGGAAAATTCAGAGAGCAAAATACCTGTTGTGAAATTTTTACCATGTATGTGTATACACAAGCACATACTAATATGGTGCTAAGCCAATGACATCATATTAGAGTTGCCTTTTTTCAAGACATCAACATTAATCCAACAAACATATTTGTACTTCATATCTGATGAATTTTCATTGTTAGCATCAGTGTCTCAAGTACATATAGCTCACTGTTAGAAACCTAATGCCTATTCCTTGAACATGTGTGTACCCCACTTTGGGGGGTAAGCTATCACGATAAATACCAGAAATACATAGATTTGCATACAGCTTATATACAAATACATCACACATGATCAGCATGGAAAACTGTTGCTATATCCTGATGACACACCACTGAGATTCCACTAATGGAACAGACTAATCAATGTGAACACGTTATGCTAGTGTTGTTGCTACCTGACCTAATGCATACAAACTCAGATGTAATTCCCATGAATTTTATGGGGGTTACTTACATGAAAATGTACAATCAATTGTAGTTGTACAGTGCTATTGTATACAGTGGTGCCTCGCTTAGCGATTGCTCCGTTGAGTGATGAAATCGCTTATCGATGCTGTTTTGCGATCGCAAAAGCGATCGCTTTGCGATGTTTCCTATGGGGAAAAATTGCTTTGCGATGATCGCAGGGAAGCGATCACTGCAAAGCCCCCATTTTCAGCCAGCTGATCGGCGGTTCCAAAATGGGCACCCACTGTTTTGCCTCGCTCTAGAGGCACCGAAAATGGCCGCCTCACTGGAGGATTTTCGCTTAAGGTTAGTCTGGAAACCCACAGGAACGCATTAAACGCGTTTTAATGCGTTTCTATGGGCTTTTTAAAATCACTTAGCAACGTTATCGCTTAGCAGCGATTTTTGCTGCACGGATTAACATCGCTAAGGGAGACACCACTGAACTCAGATACAAGCTTCACTGTCTACAGTGGATTTACAGATAAGCAGAATTTTTTTATTTAAAATATTTTTATCCCACCTTTCTCCTTAAAAAGACCCAAGGTGGCTTGTATCATTAAAAGACAGTATGTAAGGCTAACAACAGTAATTACACAAATACTAAAAGGATCAAACAAATTCCACATTAAAAACAGTGAACAAAAGCAACACCACCAAAACACATTCAAAGTAGTCAAGTACAACAATCCATTTAAAAACTCAACTCAGGTAGCCAGCCACTACAGGAAAGCTTACCTGAAGAGAAAGGTCTTTGCCTGCTTGCAGAAGGACAGCAAAGATGGGGCCAGCCTGGCCTCCTGTGGGAGGGAGTTCCAAAGTCTGGGAGCAGCAACAGAGAAGGCCCTCTCCTGTGTCCTCACCAAATGCACCTGTGAAGGTGGTGGGACTGAGAGAAAGGCCTCTCCTGATGATCTTAGCATCCAAGCAGGCTCATGAAGGGAGGTGTGGTCCTTGAGATATCCTGGGCCCAAGCTATTTAGGGTTTTATAGGTTAAAACCAGCACTTTCAATTGTTCCAGAAACAGATCAACAGCCAGTATGGCTGTTTCAATTGGGGGGGGGAGTTATGTGATACCTGTGATGAGTCCCAGTTAGTAATCTGGCTGCTGCGCTTTAGACCCGAAAAGGTTTCCTGGCACTTTCCAGCCCTGCATAGAGTGTGTTACAGTAATCCAGCTGGGAAGTAACTAAGGCATGAGTCACCATGGCTAGATCAGAACTCTCTAGGAACAGGAACAGATGGCATACTAGTTTTAATTACGCAAAGGCTCTCATGGCCACCACTGAAACATGGGCATCCAGGCTCAGAAATGAATCCAGGAGCACCACTAAACTGTACACCTGTGTTTTCAGAGGGAGTGTAATCCCATAAAGCATAGGCTGTATCCCTATTCCTTGATCTGTCTTTTGACTGACCAGTAGCACCTCTGTCTTGTTTGGATTGTTTTTCAGTTTATTCACCCTCATCCAGTACACTAAACACTGATCTAGAGTGGAAAGAGCTTCCTCAGATTTAGATGGAAATGAAAGACAAGAGTTGGATGTCATCCACATCCTGGTGACAATGAACCTTAAAACTCTGAACAACTTCTTTCGGCTGTTTCTTCTAAATGTTAAATAACATAGGAGACAGAACCCTAAGGTACTCCACAGGCCAACAGCTAGGGTATTGAACAGGAGTCCCCCAACACCACCCTCTGAGTTATCTCCTCCAGGAATGACCAGAGTCACCATAAAACAATGCCTTGAAGTCCCATCCAAGAGAGATGGGCCAGGAGGACACCACGGTCAATGGTATCAAAAGCTAGTGAGAGGTCCAGCAGAACCAACAAGCAGACATTCCACTTGCCCAGTTCCCAGTGTAGGTCATTCACCAAGGTGACCAGAGCACTCTCCACCTTATAACCAGGCCTGAAGCCAGACTGAAATGGATCTAGATAATCCATCTCATCCAGGAACTCCTGGAGATGAGAAGCCAGCAACTTGCCCGAGGATAAAATATTACAGACTGGTCAGCAATTATTCAGCACTGTGGGTTCTAATGTGGGCTATTTTCAACAGTGCTCTTACTACAGTATGTCTTTTTAAAGCAAGTTGGATTCCTACTCTGCTGCAAGGAGGCATTTACCGCTCCCTCTACCCACTCGGACATTCCCCCTCTGGCTTCTTTTATGAGCCAGGAAGGACAAGAGTCCAGCAGCCATGTGGTAGCTATCACTTCTGCAAGGATCCTGTCCACATAATCTGGCTACAGAAACTGGAACTCATCTATTAACACAGAATAAATAGGGACCATAAGCATGAATAGGATTACAGTCTTAAAAGTAACAAGAAAAAGAATGCAAAGACACGCATAAAATGCAGAATGGTAGCCAAAGCCTATATAATCCAAAGAAAACTATTTTAATATATTCGCGAAGGCTTTCATGGCCAGGATCTAATGATTGTTCTGGGTTTTTCGGACTCTTTGGCCGTGTTCTGAAGATTGTTCTTCCTGACGTTTCACCAGTCTCTGTGGCCGGCATCTTCAGAGGACAGCAACCTGTG